AAACGCAGCTGTAACCGAACATTGTGATCTACACGCGTAATGAATGTTTCTAAACTGTCTTACATTGATTTCAGGACGTCCGTCAAAAAAACCCGGACACCCTTCAGGAAAACCCGGACACCCCTCAGGAAAACCCGGACACCCTTCAGGGAAACCTGGACACCCTTCAGGAAACGTGTTATGCAATGCAGTAGCTTGTGACTTCTCTACGGGTATGGCATCAGTTATCTTTCAAAGCAGAACTATCCATCTTATTTGCAGGAAACATGTGTGGCTACAGTAATCTAGACAGTCCAACTGGCGTTTACACTGTCTCTCGTTGGCAAATAGCAGGTGGCTCGACTGGCAACGCCGTGACCGGCATCGAATCAGGAGGTGAATCACTTGTTATAATTATAATTGTTAATCTGGTCTTTATGTTTCTTAACGGACTGCTGAGCATGTGAGTGTTATTTAATCAACTACCATACTTAGCCCACTGTTCAGATAGAGTGTTAAGGTAGATCTAACAAAGGTGAATAAAATTTACGAGGAAAAATTCAAGGCAATGGGGGTGGGAGATAGCTCGACTTAGTCCTCTCCAGTAAGATACCATATTCAGTTTTAAAATTTAGCTGTGATTCTGAATATACTGAAATTTAAACAAGTTCTTTAAAATTTTGGTACTCTGTGTATGGTGTGAAATTATTAATTACGAAAATATTATTTTCTTTGTCCAATTTGCTACTAAATTTTCTTCACAAAAAAAATTTTACCATTCCAAAAAACAACAATATTTACGATTTGGATGAAGCACTGCTAACTGCATTCATTACAGAAATGACCTGTACGTAGTAGGTACCTCTGAACATCAGGCTCATATTTTGTCTGCATGTTTGCCTACGAGGAGTGGAAATGTAGTTGATGCTCTAATAATCTTTCTTCAACTCTACTTGGACATGCGTTCCCGTATCCAAAGCACTAAAGATGCTGAAGTATAATGAAGACTTGGCCCAAATAAACTTCCCTCCCAGACGACGGGAAACAATAAACAGTAGGCTTATGTCGAGTAGATTGGGTAGAAGAAATTAAAATGTTATTATTACCAATATAATTTGAAAGCCGCCATGGGATTCCTGCTCCATAGCACTATAGTTATACTTTGTCTATAGTAAATCGGTCCACAATAAATTTTCAAATCATGAATTTCACTTCTAGTTAAAAGGGAATGGCGTTAGCATCATTGGGAGATTTTTAAATTGTCTCGATCCTTCGCCAATTTCACATGCTTTATATTCAGACAACAAAGAAACTTATTCCTGACATATTAACCATTTATTATCTGCAATGAAAACCCTAGGCCTTGCATATCGACACCCTAACGGAATACTGTTTCAGTCAACCAATTCCGATGACCGCTTATGCTTTCGGGTCACAGAGTCAGAGTGTCTCCACTGTTCTTGATTCTGTTCCAGCCTTTGAGATTCGACAGAAGATAAAACAACTCTGGAACGGAGTCCTACTATACACTTGCCCCGGATATTCTTTGTCGGCCTCTGGGTCTTCAGCTGGTCGCTTCGGCAGGCTGTTGCTGTTTCATCTTCCTTTATGAATGCATTCACAAAACGGGCCATTGACAATTTCTGTGACTTTATCTGTTGAAAGACTAATATCAGTTGTCAGCTGCTTTTCAGTCAAGTCTACTTATTGTTGCTCAGGATGAGGAATTTCCTCAAAGTACTTTCTCCATCGCCGAAACATTTCCGCATCCTTAATGGGGAGGGGCGTCTATACTTTACTCTAGGATTCTTAGACTGCCCTTCTTTCCATCATGAAGCAGACCGATGGTCTCCCAAAATGCCTTATTTGGGTCTGGAAACTCCACTTTAGCACCTCACCGATCTTTTATCAGGAATCAGTTTTCGCCTTGTCCACCAGTTTTGCTGCATCTCTGAGCCCTTAGTCGAACTGCACCAACCTCTCTGTCCACCAGAGAGTTCGCTTTTGACCTCAGGGTCACAGGCCAACCAATTTTAAGCGACAACCCTGAGTAAACCGCTTTTAAAGTACTTTCACTGATTTTCCATGCTAGTATCTAGCTAGTCATCACTAGTATCTGTTCAAATCGTCGTCGATATTGTTGGTAAATTATGCCCCATATCTGAAGGAGATAATGGTTCTCATCTGATTATATGATTGCTTCTGCCGCTGTGTCATCAAATTGTATTTCGCCGTTTTCAGCGGATGGTGCCAACGAAAAGGTGATGATCTGCTAACAGCAGTGCAGTAGTCCTTAAGCGAACATTGCGTTGTAAATTAGATGATTTGATAATAGTATAGGATCATCCACTTCCGTTTAAAAGCTTCCTGGTACCAGGTGTACTGATGCACTCTTCGATGCTCGAAGAAGGTGTTCAAAACGGACAGTCCGTTGTTTGCACAAAACCGTAGCAGCTTCATGCCTTCATTGTTGAAGTTATTAGGGCCGTTCTTTCAAATCACGTCTTGCAATTTTCAGTGTCTATTTCGACATGTGCATTGAAATCACCCGTTTGAATGATGAATTAAATAGTTGCACTTTAAACAGACGATCTTCTACTTCGGCCGAAGCTGAGGCTCTGGCATAGGATCGGGAACTTGGGAAGTTCTGTCTGGCACGTCTGCCTCCGCGACCTGAAAGGAGAAGCGGCGATGGAAGATGAAGATGTTCTACTTCCTCTAAGAAGGACTCAAACTCAAATTCATCCTCCGAATTGGATGCATGGACATGTGACAAGTCTTGAGTCTTAGTTTTAACTTGCTTTAACTTCAGTCCGATGATGTTCATTCATTCTCTGACATGTTTCCAATGAACGATTTTATTTGCTAAGTTGGATACTATCAGAACACAAACACATTCTTGAGCGTTTGTCGCGAAGTCGACAACTGAGGAGAATAACTTCCAGCTGGGGAGTGTGAGTATTCCAGAGACTTTGCGATTCACTGACGATAGGGCAGCTATGTTCAGTCACTATCTTGCAGCCTTATAATTAAATAACATTATTTGATAAGCTATCA